CATGCACACTGTTCCCATCCTTGTGTGACATCATGCACACTGTTCCCATCCTTGTGTGACACCGTGCACACTGTTCCCATCCTTGTGTGACACCATGCATACTGTTCCCATTAATATGGACTATAGATGAACAATAAATATATTTTAGTTTACCTAGCCCAAATATGGAGCCTATTACATGGCCATGACTCAGCAGCCAGTTCTAGAAAAGGAATGATTTTACCATTGTTGGTCTGAACTGGTCAGATTTAAACTCTAAATTTGTGAGTGGGTCATTGTCCCTGTGGACTCTGCTTTCAAAGAGAAAACACTGCATGAACTTATATATACCAAGATTTTTAAATATCTTCTAATTTTTTTGTTTTTATTTTATGTGTATAGGTGCTTTGCCTGGATGTGTGTCTGTGCACCATGTGTATGCAGTGCCCTTGGAAGCCAGAAGAGGGTATTGGTGCCCTGGGATTAGAGTTACAGAGGTTATGACCGGTCTGTGTGGGTGTTGATAATTGAATCCAGGGTATCTGGAAGAGAAGCCAGTGCTTTTTAACTGCTGAGCTCTCTCTCCAACCCCACTTTTACCTTTTCAAATGTTTTTAATAGCATATACTAACTAGGCATAGTATTGAGTTTCATTTTTAAATTTTCTATATGTGTGCATAATGTATTTTGGTCATATTCACACACACACACACACAGACACACACACACACACACACACACTACTCTGTTGTCCACTTCCCTTCCTGCTGATCTCTTTGCTCTACCAATTACACTTTCCTGATCCAATGGGTTTAAATTAGAGTGGCTTACAGGGGCATGGGCATTTTTCCATAGGGGGAAAAAATCTCTCCCTCTCTTCCAGGATTCATTAACTGTCAATCCCCAGGGACAGATGGGACTTTATGGCAGAATTTTATAATACTCTTCACCTTTTTCTTTTTCTCTGATTTTTTACATCCTTTCTGTTCTGTGGCGGTATTGTGTTCCCCAAAATATTGTGCACGCTAATAAACTTATCTGGGGTCAGAGAACAGAACAGCCACAATATTAAACATAGAGGATAGGCAGTGGTAGCACACGCCTTTAATCCTAGCATTCCAGAGGCAGAGATATACCTGGATCTCTGTGTGTTCAAGGATACAGCCAAGCATGGTGACACACGCCTTGAATCCCAGAAAGTGAGCCTTGAATCCCAGGGAGTGATGGCAGAACGCAGAAAGGTATATAAGGCGTGAAGACCAGAAACTAGAAGCTTTTAGCTGGTTAAGCTTTTAGACTTTTGAGCAGCAGTTCAGCTGAGACCCATTTGGATGTGGACTCAGAGGCTTCCAGTCTGAGGAAACAGGATCAGCTGAGGAACTGGTGAGGAGAGGTGGCTGTTTCTGCTTCTCTGATCTTACAGCATTCACCCCAATACCTGGCTTCAGGTTTGATTTTATTAATAAGACCTTTTAAGATTTGCTTTACACTGTTCCTTCTTCTATGATGATCCTAGCCTTGGAGAGGATGATGTAGATGTCTTATTTAGAGCTGAGAAATCAACAGCTGCTGATTCTCATCACTTTGATCAATTGAGTCTCTGAAGTTACCCATGGAAAAAGAAGCCTCTGATTAAAGCAGACATCAGTAATAATCTTTGAATATAAACATAATTATTTAGAAGGCAATTTGATGCACATCATACCCATTTAGAGAAGCAACAGTAATAGCTTTCCTATGGAGCATATGGTTTTTGACAGGTTTGCAATGCCAGACACAGGTTCCCTCCTGTAAAGTGAGCATCAAATCCAGAAAGCAGTTCGTTACTCCCATAAGACCTGTGCCAATGGCATATCCTGTCTAGCTGGCCTATAATGTTATTCTCAAGGTCCACTGACATGAGTTCAAGGCTTGTCTAGTCCACATAGTGAAAGCTCATAAGACAAAATGAAGAAGGAGGGAGAAAACCAACCAAAATGAAACAGGCAAATTCCATATGAAAACAAGAGAGAAATATAATTAAGATACTCAAAGTATGAGCTTATAATGTATTACTAATGTCTTTAATGGCATAACAATTGTTGACTCTGAACACAGGAATAGAACTTATCTCAAAGGAAATAAAATTCATAAAGAAAAATAACATTTCTAGTATTGTAAAAGAAAAAAAAGAAAAAAAAAGAAAAATAACATTTCAAGGACTGCCAGCAGCTGGTAAATATGTATGCATTTTACTTTAGGAACTGTTGAGATGGTTTAATAGGTAAGTAAAGTGTGCAAGCATGAGAACCTGAGTTCAGATGCCTAGAACCCATGTAACCCAGGGAGGGTAGAGTACATCTACCAGTCCAGCACTCCAATTGGTCCAGTGTTCACAGTAGTAAATAAGAGATGCCCTGTACCCATGGGATACATGTGCTTCCCACCCCTCCTATTATACATTAGACATGAAAGTGTAAGTACACACACACACACACACACACACAC